GTGAGGGCAGCAAATCCCATAAGAACTCTGCAGTTAAGCGTGCTCAGGCGGGAGTAGTACCGGGATGGGTGACCCCCTGGGAAGTCCTCGTGCTGAGTGGCCCAAAGCGGACAATATTGTGATACGTGCAAGAGAGGGTGCTACAAATGGTATCAGAGCTGGGGCACGGGTCGATGTTTTCGACGGGGACGTCGAACCCTATAATGGGGGGTGAAGGTGGGTTGTACCTGATCCCACATCGGCTTGGAAGGAGAACGAAACATTTCCTTATAAGGGGTGTGGATACCTTCCTTGTCACAACGCGTTTTAAAGTCGTGAGGGCAGCAAATCTCATAAGAACTCTGTAGTTAAGCGTGCTCAAGCGGGAGTAGTACCGGGATGGGTGACCCCCTTGGAAGTCCTCGTGCTGAGTGGCCCAAAGCGGACAATATTGTGATACGTGCAAGAGGGGGTGCTACAAATGGTATCAGAGCTGGGGCACGGGTCGATGTTTTCGACGGGGACGTCGAACCCTATAATGGGGGGTGAAGGTGGGTTGTACCTGATCCCACATCGGCTTGGAAGGAGAATGAAACATTTCCTTATAAGGGGTGTGGATACCTTCCTTGTCACAACGCGTTTTAAAGCCATGAGGGCAGCAGATCTCATAAGAACTCTGCAGTTAAGCGTGCTCAGGCGGGAGTAGTACCGGGATGGGTGACCCCCTGGGAAGTCCTCGTGCTGAGTGGCCCAAAGCGGATAATATTGTGATACGTGCAAGAAGGGGTGCTACACTAACCGACATATAGACGGAGATCTTTAGTTTTATTTATTAAAAATTTATTCAAATATTTATATATTCTAAGAAAATAAATATATGAAATTTTGAGATTTTGGATGTAATATTTAAAATTTTGAAATCTTTTAAAATTTTAAAATCGAAAATGTAGACTGTGAAATAAGGGTTGCTAGTTTAACCGAAGAGTACTACCGTGAAAAAAGATTTGTACATAGTTTCTTTCAATTAGGCAATAAAAATAGAAAATTAAAGTAAGATGCTATAATAAACAATTTCGTATAGTTTCATATTTGCCAATAATTATTTTTCGGAAACCTGTCATATTACAAATAACAACATCAAAACATTATTTACGATGAACGTTGTTGTTTTGAGTAAAAAATAATTTGATGTTGGTGTTTTATGTTTAAAATAAAAATACACTATGGAAAGTGATTAACTTCATTATTTGATACACTTAATATGGAAAGTGATTAACTTCGGTCAGTGACAAATACAATGCTTGACACACTTGATTTGGGAAATAACCCTAATAATATAAGCAAAGTTTACAATAAACCTACAAATAATATGGGTTATAATTCAATTTATTGGTTCGTATGGAAACAAAAGTTCCTAATTTGTTAAAGACCTTACTAAGCACCCACCACAACATGTTGGTTTCAACTTTTGGACCTAATGCATAAGAGTTGTCATTCATTTCTCTAATAGCACACAATTGGCAGGCATCTGCATTAACTTTAAGACCAAAACATAAGAATAAATAAAGTAACAATAAATGAAATAAGAATAAACAAAAGTATGATGCTAGAATAACAAATCAATGAAAGTTTCTATTTACAACACTATCATACTAGGTGACTGGAAACTAAAAAAAATACATTGAGAGGAAATCATTTGTAAGAGAAATTCAAAAGGAGAAGAAATGTGGGGCTTAACAGAGGGCTGAACCGGTGCGATTCTAAACCCTTATCTTTGTACCTCTAACCTGCTGTATTCCCAGACCCATCTACAGCTGACCTTCACCTTCACCTACACATTCATCCAGTTTGTTTGATCATCTGAGCTTGGAAAACGATGTCGGCATTCATGGTCGAATCTTCCCAAAAAGTTAAAGATGTCACCAAAAACACAAATATCAATTAATCAACCTAAGATACTTTATTTTATTATTTTAAACATCATTATAGTTTTTTGCCATAAAACGCTTAAAATGTAGTACTTTCAAGTTATTACATTTCTCCTCAATGAAGCATGGTGAAGTAAAAATCCTACTGATATGCTATTCTAGAATGTTTTTCAAGTACAATTCTTAAAATTATACCATTTACATCCCAATGAAGTAAAATACAAATTGTTATGGAAGTGGCATCATCGAATTAAGGGTCAGGTCTAAAATCTCCATTAAATATGTAGAATAGGGGTAACATACCCTTCAGTTAGTCTCGTATTGCAAATTATTCTAAAAATTAAAAATAACTTCTATATCTAAAGCACGGTAACATACTCATAACATCATACATACTTATAAAGCTAACATTTTTTCTTGAATCTCATGCATTTGAAACCCCCTTTTTTAACTAATGCAACTCAAAAGTTTTCTTAATTATGATTTAACATTTAAAAGTTTTATAACTTATATTATGTTTAATTAGCATTTAGTGAAAAGTTTATTATAAAAAAACCGATATTTTGGGAAAACATGCATACAAATCATATACAAGTTTCAGAAACAAAACAAACTTAAAGGTTTTTGTGTTTGGTTGAGGTCTTATGACCACTTCTGGAGATATGCTATTATATTAGAGCTTTTAATTTGTAAGTTTGTTATACTAATTCGTTTTTATATTTTCTTCGTGTTTGGATTATTGTAATACAGTCGTTGTATATTGTGGTTTAATCGTTAATATATTGATCATATGTTATATAGGATGATGTCGAAAATATTTAATTAAATATTTTAAATATGTTTTTTTTGGTTTGTAATTGTACCGTTTCAAAAAGATAATTAATTAAAACTCATACATATGTTATATTTTCCATCTCTTTCTCTCTCTCTCTCTCTCTCTCTCTCTCTATATATATATATATATATATATATATATATATATATATATATATATTATATATATATATATATATATATCTATATTATAATAGAGGTCAAAACACTTCAACCAAAATTCATTTAAAATCTAATATTTCAAATGTTTTTTAATAATGATTGTAAAAATTTCAACATGTGTTACTTAATTGATTGATTAATAAAAATATTAATGTTTTGAAACTCCTAACTCTTAAACTTATATTATTTAATTTGTTAGTTAACTAAAATATTTTTCCTACATAAAGATAACATTTTTATGTTTGGTTACTCATATTTGTTTATGTAATTAGAAAACAAAGTGTACATAGAATAACTACTTCAATTTCACATATGAATCGATACCACTAGAGAGGTATATTGTCTTTAACTGGTGGTAGGAGATCCACATACCCTTTTTAATTATTTATATATATGCTTAGTAATATCTATTTTATATTCCTATTCACCTTAATTTTTTAGGTACCAGTTAAGGAAGATGATTCTCGGCGCACCAACATAAAGTCAAACGTACGCCTTACAAAATATGTAATTAAAATTAAATATCATATTTACTAATCGACTTATTTTAAAACTATTGATGATATTTATGTATAATGATATATTTTGTATGACTTCATTTTTAATTTCAATGTTTAATATTTGAAAGTTCATATATGAAACATTGGATGTTTTGGTGTAATATAAATAGTGTAATACAAAGTTTACTAGTTCAATATTGTTTATTAATAGCTCATTCAAAACAATTTATTTTTTATTTTATCCAAAAAATATTATCGGACATAAGAAAAGTAGATTATATTAATGGTATACAAAAACTTATAATATATATTGGATATTATAAAAATAAAAGTAAAGTTTATAAGGTATGAACTATATTAGATAGTATCAAAATATAAGTTGATGGATTTTGATGTTATTTGATAATTCGGTTAATGCCCACAACATGACTAAAAACGTAAATTTCAACATATTTCTATTTTTTTCTCATAATTATTTTAACCACTAAAATGCATTCTTGCGCAACGCGCGAGGTTACGCCTAGTTTGTTATAGAATCAGACAATTCACTCTTATCGAAGAGTAACGACCTAACAAAAAGTGTATATATGTCAAGACTCATCAATCAATATCGTGTAGCTTAGGAAAATAGGATCATACAGTTCTTGATCAATTGCTTTTGCTGATACAATTTTGAACCTGCAAATTACATGATTTATGTTATACTTGGATCTTTTTAAAAAAAATCAGAAATATAACAAAGATTTGGCGGTTCCCTAATGCTCATGGAAATCTTACCTTAATATGCATATGATTTCAAAAAAAAAAAAAAAAACAACACCAACAACAACAACGAAATAACCAAATATGGGTTGGAGGCGGTAGTAACGGTGGTATTTAGGGTGTTTAGAGTGAGGATGAAGGAGGAGGATGGTGAAGAAGGTGATGGATTTCAGGACCCTCAGGTCTTGGGTGGTGATGGCGATGGACATAGTGATTAACAGGGTGTAGATCATAGCGGTGGTTGCGGTAGTCTTTGACAGTGGCAGTGAGTGGTGGTAGTGGAGGCTGAGTTTTGGGGAGTGTGTTTTAGGGTTTCTTGAAGACGGGTGGTTGAGAGAGGGTGAGAGATAGATAGAGTGGAAATGATTTATAATGTGTACATGGTATTAGATCGATTCAACTGGATATGAGGGAATACTTAACTCTGACTCATTCAAAATCTTATATCTTATTTGAGTTTTTCATAATTGTTAACCAGATAAGATTCAGTATTTTGGTAATGCATAAAATGATTGTTAATAGCGGAATAATGGTTGTACTTCTTAAAATTCAGCATTTGACTAAATTTGCATAATAAGTAGTAAAGATATATATTCAGTATATATACTATTAAGTAGTCGGATATACTAAAAAATATACACTGAAATGATATTAACTTATGATAAATTCATATTCATAACAAATAATAGAAAATTATAAAATAAATCTCTATTGATATTGATGCTTTAATAAGCCCAAATTTATTGCCCAACAATTTCATTTGATCTTTTAGATTAGATTTACGGCCCATAAAGCCCATTTTCAGGTGTGAAAAAATATAACGTGGGAAACTTTAGAAGTCTCTCGAGTACTCCATCGCTCTCGGAAGACACCATTGATCTCTCTCGATTATCTTCTCCTGCTGGACCACGCTTCATCTCGAAACACCGGCGCACGATCACAGGTTAAGGAAATTAATCTTTTCATGTTTATTTCTTCCAAAAACTTTAATCATGCGATGTCAAATTATGATCTGTAGGTTTTAACAGTTACTGTTCAAAGTATTTACTCGAAAATAGCACACGTTTACTGTATGTTATATACTCTTATCATTCTGTTAATAAGCGAAAAAAGATGTCTTCTCTATCATTCTATCTATTTCTTCGATAAATTTCGAATTTTTACTTCAATTGTCATGTAATAATTAGTGCTCAATTCTGTGATTATACTTGAAATTCAGAGTAAGTTTAATCTATATTATGTGCGTTTCATCTGTTTGTAGGTGAACGAAGAGGCTTTCTCTATCTATTTCTTCGATAAAGTTTGAATTAGTCAATTTCGAATTTTGATCTGCCATCGTGACTTGATAAATGATAATTAGTGTTTGATTACGTTATTATAATCCAAATTCACTGTATGTTTGATTTGATTTATAAGCTTATCATTCTGTTAGTAGGGTAACAAACAGGTCTTTCTATGTCTATTTCTTCTATGAAGTTTAAACTATGCCAAATTGAAAAAATGATCTGCCTATTATGTGATTATACTCACTATATGAGAGATAACATGATGCAGATTACTTGAAAGAAACAAGGAAAAGGAAAGAACAATCCGTATGCGTGGAATAACTGCATTATTGCGAGGAAACAGTAAATTGAATAGAATCTACCCTGTTAAAGCATCATGGGGTAATACTTATACCAATAACTTAATTCAGTTTGTTAAACTTTTTGTCTGAAACTAAGAAAATAATTTGCATTTTCCAGTTGCCACTGTAACACCAAAGAAGGTAAAGGATGATGTTTTTGAGAAGAAAGAAGAGATGAAAAAGGAGGAAGTTGATCCAATTGTTACTTTCAGTAAGCCTCCACCTATGCCACCTGTTCTTGGACCACTTGTTCTCTTCTCGCTTTGGGAAACATGGTCAGCTCCAGACGACAAGTGACGACTGAAATTAAGGTGTCGTGTTTCTTTTCTTGCAAAATATCGAATGATGCTAACACTTAAAGTCTTGATCACTATAAACTATGTTGTAAATCTTTTGTATTAATAGAAGTATGACTTTTTGTCACTTGACCACTTGTTCTCTTCTTGCTATGTAAGCCCAATAACTTTCTTTCCTTTTGGCAATGTTACTGAATCTTTGTGAATAGCCCAATAACGAAAAAGATTTCTAAACACAATAAAACTAAGAGACAAAAATTCCATTAATCGATGGTATAAATTATAAAATCGAATTTGTAAATTTGCATGTATAGAATCAATTTTTGAATCAAAATTCAGATGCAAATTAATTAGTACGTAGATTCGAAGTAGCTAAAACAATTTGTTTCTTTAAATCGTCACTAGTTTAATGCGTTGTACATTAAAAAAAAAAAGTAATGTCGTCTTCACGCACGCATAGTAGAGCAGAAAAAGCTATTTCAGAAACCAATTCTTCTTCAAATAACCACTAGTGAACTACAACATTCATTAATATATTAGAGAACTAATAATATTATCTTATTCAGCATACATGAGATTTGATTTATCGAAACATAAAATTAGATTAAAAAGGAATGAATTATGACTAACTGAATGATTTATTTGCAACATCTAGTTCAACAAAGTTAAATATAAAAAAGATCAAAGTAAATCAAAATATTAAAAGAGGCATAATGTTTTTAGAAACTTAGAGTTACATAAACAATTATTTGGCGTCCGAAACTAGAGATAAGAGAGAAGGAGAGAGAAAAGTTGGAATATGATATGAAGGCCAACAAACAACTTATAAAAAGTGGGATTCGTCTAGGCAGATGGTAGAGTCGTAGAGATAACAAAGAAACATATTTGAGAAAAATGTTGTTTGTTTTACAAATCATATAAAAAAATCATTTTGACATTTTTTCCAAAAGATAAAAAATTAGCTTTTGATTTTGGAAGACGTTTTCTAAGTTTTAATCCTATGTGATATTTCTTTTCCACTACCAATATCACCATCACCATTGACATCACCGCCACCGTTGCCGCCACCACCACCTCCGTCACCCCCACTTTCCCTACCTTCGTTATCACCACATCTGCCACCAACAACACCAACACCACTATCGTTGCCAACACCAACATCATTGGTTTTTTTTATGAAGACTTAAAAAACAAACAATTTTTTTTATGAATACTAAAAACATGGAAAAAAAAACTCAACATTTTATTCCACATAAATAGAAAAATTACCAAAGACCTTTTACCTTTACAATTCCGATGAAAGTGTGTTGGAGACTAATTTTCATGTGAATTGTTATTGTTCAAGAAGTAACTATTTATTCCTAGATTTTTGTATTAAAACATTTTAATGAGTTGTAAGATGTACGTATTTGTTTCGACTTTGTGATATATAAGAGCAACTTTCATTAATATGTATGCATGTCACTTTTATATTTTTATTTGCTATGTACATGTGACTTTTATTCAGGTATGTGTGTTATTATCACTAAAACAAAATAACAAAAGTTAGAGAAATAAAAAGTAATAATTTTTTATCTCTTCTTTGATTCTCCTTTATGTTAAAGATTAGTTTTCCATATACTAACAATTATCAAAACAAAAGACAGAAAAAACATTATTGCTTTTTAAGGCTTATGTAGTCTTCCAGATTAGATGTATGAGTAGTCATATCCTTTTGCTCGTGTCTATGGCATGATACACATGAATACTTTATTAACTGATTTCGTTTTTTTACAATCTCTTTAGCACAAAGAACTTGAAATTATTTTACAAAAATACTGAATACGGGAGAAATGGAAAAAGTAATTTTCAAACAAGCTTTAGAATTTCCAAACATATGACTTTTTCGATAGTGTTCATGTTTTTCTAGCAGAAATTTTCTCAAACATTTTATTTTCGAAAAAATAGTTGAAAGAATTTTTACACTTCAATGACAATTTTATTTTTACATTTCATATACAGAAAAAACTAAACCGATTATTTGTTTTCTTGCAAAAAAAACTGGTCACGCCTGGTGTGGGACATCTATAATTGCACCAGGTACCACAGATATGTACCCCAACCCGCTGAACCAGGTCCCTCCCACTGCTAGGCCCCCACAAAAATAAATTATTTGCTTTTTAATCAACAGAAAAAGCACTTTTTTCTGATAATTATGAATTATTTTTTCAAAATATTTCAGAGTAAAACCATTATTCATTTAGACTGTAACTTACATATTTTCTTAACTTAAAATAACATTAATAACTTGTTATTGTTGTTTATCAAATTCTGTAAATTAATTTTTTACCATTTGCGAAAACTAAATAAAAACATAAATATAAGAGGGTTGTCAACGAAAATAACGTCATTAACTACTATTAAGATGTTATAAATGTCAACCAGAATGAAGTTATTGATTTCCCGCCTAGTGCCTTGCTAGGTTGGACGGTTTTTATTATATGCATTTGCTGTTTAAAAAAAAAAAAAAAAAAAAAAAAAAAAAAAAAAAAACTAGGATTACCAATAAAAAAAAACTTTAACTTGTTTAATTTAATGTTGTACGTTCTAGCATAAACGAACGTATTTTGTAGGTCTAGATCGTATTTAACAAAATGTTTAGTTAAAATACCAAATGGAAACTCGCTTTTTTAACCAAATGAGGTTTTTTTTTTAGATAATGAGACAAACGAGAATATTGAAAGCTTTGACAAATTGTTGGGTTTACAGGAGTGGAGGGACTAACCGAATGAGGATATCCGTGACATACTCCTCAAACAGTAAATCCTGACTTTTCTACTTTTAGCAAAATTCAAGCATAATAGTTTTCATTTTGGATTATCTTAATTTTTTCTAGGGATTTTAGGCACATATAAGAAGCATTACTTAATGACAAATATTACTATAATTAAATGTAAAATACATTAATTATAAGGAATATTACAATAATTAAATGTGAAATGCATTAATAATTACCATAATAAATGTATTTTGAATTTAATTATGGTAATATTTTTCATAATTAATATTTCTTATATGTGCCCTTAGGGCACATATTAGAAAATCCATTTTTTCTATAATATTACTGTTTAATATTTATACTAAGAGTGTTCTAACTTAATAGTATACTAGTGAATAGAGAAATTAAATATTTTTCTATTTTTCTTCTTATTTATATTTTTATCCATATGAAATAATAACAAATGTCTTAAAATATTACTATTTGTTATTATAAATTAAGAGAGTTTTAACTTGTATACTAGTGAATAAAGAAATAAAATATTTTTCTACTTTTCTTCTTACTTATATTCTTATACATATAAAATGATAATAAGTGTCTTCAAATATTATCAAAAAATTTGACACTTGTCATCATTTTATATGCGTAAAAGAAGAAATCGGAAAAAAAGATAGGATGATATTTAATTTCTCTTACTAATATTTAATGCACATACATTGAAATGTAACGCGTCGGGGGAGCTTATGTGGCAATGGGCCACGCCATTAGTTATCCACCATTTTTTTTATATTTTTATACTTTTTTTATTTAGTGTATATCATTAAACAAAATTATGTGTCACCCATTCAACCCATCTCTCTATCTCTCTCACATACATGACTATACTCCAGAAATGTTCAAAATCAATTTTTGGAAAAACAAGTTTTGCAAATCGGAACCTAAGTCTGACAATCAGATCAAGGCATTAACATCGACGTTGAGTGGAATCAGGTTCTGGCTTACACCTTTGACGTAGAGCATGCCAGAGTTGAATCATCCCTATGGCTATCGAATCAAAGTTGAAATCGATGCGTATAAGGGTTTCTATGAAGGGCAACATTGTTTTGTTAGAGAAGGGAGAAGAGAGAAAGATGTCTTCGCTCATGTAGGTAACGACGTTGGCGTACTTCTTTCATGTTGGTGAGGGGAAAGATGTTTTCATTCGTGTACCACCGATTAAAAGAAAGAATAGACAAAAGGAAATAGGGAAGTGGTGTTGGTCTGACTCCTACTGAAAGTCTCGTTCATGAGAAAGTGAAGAATGTTAGGATTATGTGGGTGGGGCCTACTCTACTCAATGTTATTAAAAATATAAAACATAAAAAATGGTAAAAGGAAAAAAAAATCTCATTGTAGTACAATCAACTATTATCATTTATCCGATTTGGTCGCTAAATTATTTTTTTACGTAATAGGTCATTAAACTTCCTCGACACGTCACACTTCCATGTAGGCTCGATAACTTGCTATCCATTAAAAATTAATGGAAGTGATTTAATTGACAGGTAACTTCTAAGTTTAATGACCTATTACGCAAAAAAAAAAAAAAAAAAAAAAAAAGTTTAGTGACCAAATCGGGTAAATGGCAATAGTTGATTGTGCTACAATGACATTTTTCCTTCTAAAATGGTACAAGAAGAGAAAGTTGAACCTTTACAACCTAGGACGTGGAAGATGCTTCTCAAATACTGTTGGGATGCAAACAACACTCTAATGGCACACTACATCAACGAAGATTCGGTTTACGTGGAACACTTGTTCCGGCGTCAATTTTAAATGGCGAAATATTGATTTCTCCGTATAGTAGGTGATGTTACTAACACTTTCTGATTTTATCAGACAACGTTTGGATGAAAGAGGTGCACATGGATTTTCGGGAATACAGAAATGTGCAGTTGTAGTTCACCAATTAGCCTACGGTTCCGTTTCTAATTCATGGGACGAATATTTTCAAATGTCTGAGCGGGTATCAAGGGAAATCTTGGAAGATTTTTGAAGATGTGTTGTCACTATTTACGGTCCAAGGTATTTGCATAAGCCTACTTTTACTGGCGTTCAATCATTATATGTTCATCATGCAAATGTTCTTTCATGGGATGCTTGGATGTTTGGATTGCCTTTATCGGGCATGGGGTAATTGTCTTAATGCATGGCAAGGGAAATTTACACAGGGTGATAAGTGTCACCCAACGGTTATACTTGAAGTTTTTGCACAACAAGATCTTTGGATTTGGCATTCATTTTTTGGTCCTCCCGGCTCAAACAACGATATAAATGGTTTTGTTGGCTTTTTATTCAAAAATTAGTTTCAAATACATAAGATTTAACAACAGAAGACTTAGAAATGTTGAATAACATAAAAAAGT